GGTGTTGTGAACGACGTGTTCACCTGTGTACTCTATCCCCAACATGGTTGCCTTTAGGACACTTATTGTTGAGGAAGCCCCTCTGCAGTGATGTCCGTCCCGATGAAAAATCCTGAAATAGGTTCCTTATAATAGACGTTATTTTTAGGAACGTAAAGTGAGGATAACGGGAATGGGTAATCGGGTTTATTGTTGATTGTTGAATCAAATATAATTATTTATTGTGGGTTGAAAACCCTACATGCTCACCAGGCTCCCAAGCCTGACCCACTCAGTTGATTTGTTTTACAGGAAGTGGCGCAAGAGCTTAAGATGGGCGAATTATCAAGTTGTTTTGTTTGCAAGTCTGTATATGTATATATTTGTTGAATGACTTGTAATGCTATCGTTTATGCTTTATGATCTGTATCGGAACATGACATCCCGACTTTTGATTATGAAATGAATTCATATTTCTTTATGAAATGTTTTGATAAATATCTATTTTATCATGTTTTGTTTTTGGGAACAAATTCCGCATCTCTTTTAAAACTAAAAAGATTTACTCTGAAAATGTTTAAAAAGCATAAATGAAATCGGTCTTTTCTGGCCGAGATTTTGGGGATGTCACATAAAGTTTCCAACTTTATGTTTTTCTTCCATTCAAAATTGCTTAAGCATGAAATACATGGGTCAACAACTTAGATCTAACCACTTTAATCAATAAATTTTGATCCTTTGACACTTACAAAGGCCATGAGATGATGATTATGATGATGATAATGATGATGTTTTTTTGCAAGCTCCACCAACAGAACACCTTCTTCTCTTCTTCTTCAAGCCAATAAATTCTCCCAAAGTCCAATAATCACCAAGGGAATTAGGGTTAGGTATTTTTTTTTTAGGAAAAAGGGTGTTAGAGGATGATAATGAACCCTAAAAATTGACTTAGAAGGGAAATACAAAGGAAACCCGAAAAGATCACAGGTTTGGGCTGGAACAGGTTTCACATCGTGACACCTTATGTCTCACATCGTGAGGATGGTCCGAAAACCATTTCTCGTATTTTTTCTCGTAAACACATAATGGAATCACAATGGAATGTTAAACATGGTCACGATAACAAACCACATGATTAATGACATGAATCTGCTCTCCAATCCCTTAGATCTTTGCTCCATATCAGCTTAACGGCCCTCTGGCCGCCTTCCAGACCCTCAAAACGGCAGCTATAAAGTTTTCTTGTTACACAAGTCGAAGTGGAATATCATAGATGATAAAAATGGTGGAATGATATGGGGTATTTATAGTTGAATGGAGATGGAATTAATATGAAATATTAGAGTTGGATTGGAATAAGAAAACTAATGATGGCTTTGGGATTAAGCAAATAAAAATAAGGTAAGTGGTGCTTGGGGAATAAGTAACTTGGAGGGAATTTCTGTCCAACTTTGATGCTTCATCTTCAAGGCCGATTTTGGATATGATAAATGTCGAATTAGCAAAAAGGATCTATCACATAATTCGTAGGAAATTTTGTCTAGTTTTTAGAACATATTGAATCTCATCAATTGGACTTATGACTCATCAGATATACCCGAAACACTGAAGAGGGGTCAATCTGCCAGCAATATCCTTTTTGCATATTTTCAGCTCCATTCTCTTCCTTTTGCATTCTAGTTCCCACTTTAACTATAATTGAATATTTCAAAGCATATTAAGTATCTTTTAGTTATAAATAACATAAAAACATAGTACAAAATAATAAGAAAACGTCATAAATATATGCATAAAATAGACGTTATCAATCATTACGTGGAATGATGAGGTGTATCAGTAAAATTGGCATCGTTGGTATCGATGTTGAACGACATCGCAAGTCATTATACTTGCAAGTCGGAGTATCAAAAATGGAAGTTTTGGGTGGAAGTTATGAGCCACAAAGAGAAATTTATTGGTAGAGCACAAGAGTACAAGAGCAGTGAACAAGATAAACATTATGTTAGGTAATACTATGAAACCCTAAATTAGATAACTGGTTGAATGGTAATTATATACAACAATAAGTTGAATTGAAATTTTATATAATAAAATTTTGAAATGAACCAACATAAAATAATCGTTATAATAGAAGATATATGTAATAATCGGTTGAAATGATATATATATATATATATATATATATATATATATATATATATACACACACACACACGCACACACAAGAGGTTGAAAAGATTTACAATAAGTTCTTGAATGATACATGATATATGCAATATAGGCGATATGATTTTGTTATATGTAACTTATGTGGTCGAATTGTTTTATGTTGTGCAATTGAATTGATATGCAATATGCATTAGAAATGATATATGACTGGCGATTGTGTGCTATATGTTATGCGGTTGAATATAAGTGAATTTTAGTTGATATATGTGGATCATAATTTGTATGAATGACCCATTAGGGGCTGTATTGTTTCCTTTTAGTTGTGTACAACTTTATTGGTTCACGAAGCATGTGTTGCCATTTGTTTCTTTTTTATATGTCAAGTAGCTTATAAGATTGGCTAGAGATAATCTTTGGAACCGAAACGGAACCGGAACCAGTATTGCAATATCGTAATAATCGGGAACCAGACCGCCGGTTTCGGTCCCGGTTTTTTAGTTATTTTTTTCAAACAAGAACCAGTTATAAATAAGATGAAACTAATTATGATGCAATTCATAATACATACACGTAGTTTAGATGGCTTCCAAAAAATATAAGACAATTAAACTTTCATATAAAAAAGAGTAAATTACTGAAATCGTCCCTGTGGTTTGCTCAAAATTGCACGTTTGGTCCCTAACTTTTTTTTTGCACTCGGATCGTCCCTATGGTTTGATTTTGTTGCGTTTTTCCATCCCCGTGGTTTGATTTTGTTGCATTTTTCGTCCCTTACATACATAAAGTTAGGGACCAAACATGCAATTTTTACCAAACAATAGGGACGAAAAACGCAACAAAATCAAACCACAGGGACAATCCGAGTGCAAAAAAAAAGTTAGGGACCAAACGTACAATTTTGACCAAACCACAAGGACGATTTCAGTAATTTACTCTATAAAAAAAATGAAAAAACTTTGCATTAATATGTTGTCTTTCCGAACTTCGCATATTCACTTCGCATATTCACTCTTCACATGTGACTTCGCATTTTTAACCCCAATCAACCAAATGCGAACTGAATTTCAACCTTAATCACATTCGCATTCTTAATCCAATTAATCCAAATGCGAAATTAGTTTTGAAACCCAGATGCGAACTCAATTTATTTTGATCTCATATGCGAAAATAATTGAGACCAAGATGCGAATGGATAATTGAGCATTATATCATATTCTATGTATTCTATCAGAATATATTAAGTGATAGTTAATTGTAAGTAACATGTTTTTTTTAACAATTATTAGTTTTTGTTGTATTTGTGATAGGAATGACTGGAAGAAGGCGTTGAAGACCTTGATATTCTTTTAGAATATGTATAATTATATTAAAATGTATAAAGATTTTAGTCTATAAGAATATGTATGAATTTGTATTTAAGTTTGGATGTATAAGAATATATTAGAATGTTGTTATTTTTCAACATTCGATCCAAAAATTTTGTTTTTCTTCAATAATATTATATTAGAATAAAATTCTGAAAGAGCATCATTCTAACAAAATAATATTCAATTAGAATAAAATTCTGAAAGAGCATCATTCTAACAAATAATATTCTGACAGAATAAAATCGGTAAACATTTGAAATTGAATTAATTAAAAAATTCAGATTTTTTTTAAATTAGGAAAATTAATCATCCCTAAAAATCCGAAAATTTCCTTTTATAAATGTAGTTAATTGTCTAAAATACCCTTTTGCTTAAAATTGTGTGATTATATGCTACATGTTACCCCAATGTAATATCATACACCCTCAAATCATGTTCATTGATTAATTTCATCCATTGGTCCAGATTTGTGCATTTTGTCACACAATACTCAGTAAAAACAAAACAACCTAAGCCTATATATATATATATATATATATATATATATATATATATATATATATATATATATATATATATATATATACACAATTAAAATACATATGACTTATGAACGGTAACATGTTTAGAGTTCTGTCTGATACTGCTTTTGTCTTTGGCTTTCACGATAACTTCCCGGTTTATCTTTATTTGGCCTATCAAATTTTAATATCTCATGATAGACCATTGTATTTTTAATTAACACTCATGAATTACATAACAAAATAGCATCCATTAATATATACAAAACAACTATTTTTAATTTATGAAGTTTCCAACGATGGAGTAATCTGTTTTATGGTCAAAAGCATTTGTTACAACGATAAACAAATAAAAGTTTAATGACATAAATTAAGTAGTAGCACAAAATATCATTTATACCTAAGGGGCTGTTTGTTAGAATCTGAATTATTATCTGAATTATTAAGATCTGAATTTTTAACATGCTGTTTGGTTGGAACTTCTTAATTTTTGTGCTAAACTATAAAATGACCATTTTACCCTTATGTATTAATTTTTGTTGAATTCAATGTTCTGTTTTATAAATAAATAGCCAAATCAACTTCTTAAATAATTATAAAAATAAATATAAACACCATATAAAATCCAAATTAAACATAAAATATAAACACCATATAAAAATAAATATAAACACCATAATTATAAAAATAAAAACATTTTATTTAGATTTCAGTTTATTAGTCCGCAGATGTTAAAAAACAAACGGTCTTCTTTTTCCAAACTGCAGACGTTTGGTCCACCTCTTCTATTGCAGAGATCTACTGATGTGGTCCACAGACTGCAGACATTTTGTCACAAAAAAAAAAACAAACAACACCTAAGTCTACAACAAAAAACATTTTAAGGATCATATAAAATCTAAAAATTAATTATACTTATAAATATAAACTTATACTTAAAATTCACATCAAATACCATGTTGATAATACGATAACATGTGAATTCAGACTCCAACTTAAAAACCCACAAGTGAATTACACTACAACTTCAAAACATCGCAAAAAAAAAAAAAAAAAAAAAAGGAATTCGACATTACCAGAACTTGAAACCTTAAAATTCATGAATCCGAGATACAAAAACAGAGTAAAAGATGAAGGCCTTCCATCAAAGTTAGATTAAGATCTAGAGTCCCTCAAAGTATCTCATATGATCTTCAAATGTCTCCCCATGCCTAATTTTCGCCACAGATCCATCTTCATCAACCTTCATTAACAACATTCACAAAAAATCAATTCATGTTGACTTTCAATAGTCAAATTGTGCATTGTTCAAATCCAAAATTCTCATCTTTATCCCTTCCTTCCATCAAACAAATAGATGCAAACTCTAGGTGAAAAATAAACAATTACAAATTAAAATATGGTGTTTGACTTGAAAAGTCAAAGATGAAAAAACATACCCAATACTCAGGTGGACGCATCTTGAGGTTGTAAGTTGATGCCATGCTCATGCAGTATGCACCTGCATCATGAACTACAAGCCCAGAACCCTGTAAACATCAAATTCTCATCATTAATCATTATTATACAGAAAATCAAAATGCTAAAAAAAAAATTATATTAATAAAGAACAACGGAGGTAGAATGTACACTGGCAGGAGAAGGAAGGTCCCTGTCCTTCCCCAAGAAATCAGCTGACTCGCAAACGGGGCCCACCACATCAAAGGTTGAAACCGCAGAATCAGGTGATGGAGGTGAAACCAATTCTATGTGCTACATTTATATTAAATTTAAAACTAAAATCAATATTCTAAAAAACGTTAAGCACTTAATATATATATATTTTTTTTTAATGGAACAGGCGGAGGCGGTCGGAGTGCGAGGGGAAGAAGGAGGCGGCGGCGGCGGCGGTCGGAGTACGAGGGGAAGAAGGAGGCGACGATCTGCGTGGAGAGGGGGGAGGATAATGAAGTGGTTATGGCTTCAAGAAAAATAGGATATGTACGTATGAGAACAAGAGGAGGCGTGCTTTATCAAGGGGCATACAGGTCTTTCTTTCTTTTTCAGATACGGGTAGATATCTGAATTTTTAAGAGGTAATTTTTCAATTAAGAGGTTTTTTATAAGATGCTACCAAACATGGTATATCTGAATTTTTAAAAGGTAGCCTCTTAATTTTTCAAGTAAGAGGTAAACAAACAGCCCCAAGTTTACGAAAATAGATTATTTTGTAAAAAATGCAAAATACTAGGATAATGCACAACATATTTTACTGAGCGTAAGAAACAATATTACCGACAATTCCATTATCCCTTTTCCCAAGAATTCAAATAGTTTAACTTCACTTTTCCGCTCACGCTTTCAAAATTCAAAATTCAAAATTCAAAATCCTAAACACTCCTGGATTCCTTTACAATTGAATCCACCACCACCACCTGCACCCAACACCGTTAAACCCCTTTCCCCACCTCTACATCTCATATTTCGGGCATCTTCTTTCTCTCTGCAGACACCATCTCTGTGTCTCTCTCTACGCACGAACAACCAATGGTGACAGAAAAACGCCAACCACTGCAATCGAGCACCACAGACAACATCCCACCGCCTACCAAACCTGCCGCCACCAAAGCCGGGAGAACCATTGAAGAAACTTATCAGAAGAAGACTCAACTCGAGCACATCCTTCTCCGGCCCGATACTTACATTGGATCTATCGAAAAACATGAACAGACGCTTTGGGTATGGGAGGATGATCAGATGGTTAAAAGATCTATCTCGTACGTCCCTGGTCTCTACAAGATCTTCGACGAAATTCTCGTGAATGCTGCGGATAACAAGCAGCGAGATCCTAAGATGGACTCTGTTAAGGTCACGATCGATGTCGAGAAGAATTTGATTAGCGTGTATAATAACGGTGATGGAATTCCGGTTGAGATTCATCAAGAGGAAGGTGTTTATGTGCCTGAAATGATTTTTGGTCATCTACTGACGAGTAGTAATTACGACGATTCCATCAAGAAGACTACTGGTGGGAGAAATGGTTATGGTGCGAAGCTTGCTAACATCTTCTCTACCGAGTTTACACTCGAGACTGCAGATGGGAAGCGTAACAGACGTTATAAACAGGTATCATCTCAACTATACATGATACCAGATCTATATCTACTACAGATCTGATTGCGAGCTTTCATGAGATTTAGGGTTTTTATAGTCTTAAAAGGTTTGGGCTTTTAATGAAATTGTTACGATCGGTTAGGTGCAGATCTGTCATACATCATCATTTCCTTGTTGTTTCCTGAACTAGGGCTTCTAATGCATAAAACTAACGATTTAGGCTTTTACTGAAATTTTCATGATCGGTTAGACATAGATCTACTGTACATCAACACTTTGTTGTTTCCCAAGCTAGGGCTTCCAATGCATAAAACATCAGACACAAAATTCAAAGAGATACCAAAATCGAATTGATTTTTTCTTATGATAAGAGTTCCTGTTTAGGGTTATTCAAGCTTTTATATCGTTGTTTCATTAGAGTAATTTTATATGCTAAATCTGTTCCATTTGTCTCTGGTTTAGGTGTTCTCAAACAACATGGGGAAGAAATCTGAGCCAACCATAACAAAGTGCAAGAGTGGTGAAAACTGGACAATGGTTTCATTTAAGCCTGATTTAACAAAATTTGGCATGGAATGCCTTGAAGCAGATGTTGTTGCTTTGATGAAGAAGCGTGTAGTTGATTTAGCAGGATGCCTAGGAAAGAGTGTGAAAGTTGAACTTGATGGAAAGCGTGTTCCTCCTAAAACATTTGAAGACTATGTCAAACTTTATCTACAATCATCTCAAGAACCCCTAAGGTACTTGATTAAAATCAATCACAATTATCAATTATTTCTTTTTAATTTAATTGGTAGCTTATGGATAGATACTAATAGTCATTTTAATTTATAGGATTTACGAGAAAGTTAATGAAAGATGGGAGATTTGTGTTAGTATGGCTGATGGGCATTTTGAACAGGTGCTTTTTCTTGTCTTTTGTATTAAGCATTCAACTTCAGCTTATGTATTTAACACTAAACTCTTGATTTTTTGTATTAAACAGGTGAGTTTTGTGAACAATATAGCTACAATAAAGGGAGGGACACATGTTGATTACATAACCAATCAGATAGCCAATCATCTTGTGGCTGTTGTCAAGAAACAGAACAAACATGCAACCCTCAAGGCCCACAATGTAAAGAATTACTTATGGGTATTTGTCAATGCTCTTATTGACAATCCTGCATTTGATTCACAAACAAAAGAAACATTAACAATCAAACAAAGCAGTTTTGGCTCCACATGTGAACTCACACCAGAGTTTTTAAAGAAAGGTATGCAAATTAAACACACCCAGTTTTCATTTCAGGATTTAATGGATTCAATAAAGCAAGTTCTAACTTTTTGATTTGTTTTTGCAGTGGCGAAATCTGATATTGTGAAAAAAGTTCTCTCATGGGTTCAGTTTAAACAGCATAATGATCTTAAGAAAACTGATGGAAACAAGAGGGGAAAACTCAACATTCCTAAACTTGAAGAGGCTAATTTTGCTGCTACAAATAATTCAGACAATTGTACTTTGATATTGACTGAAGGAGATTCAGCCAAAGCTTTAGCAGTAAGTTTTTGTGCTTATTATTCTAACTTCCTACCTTCATTTGCACAATACTCACTTTTCTTTTATGTTATTTCAGATGTCTGGATTGTCTGTTGTGGGACAAGATTACTATGGTGTGTTTCCATTAAAAGGTAAATTGCTGAATGTGAGGGAAGCAAGTCCCAAACAGTTGCAAGAAAATGCTGAAATTCAGAACATTAAAAAGATTCTTGGACTCCAACATGGTAAAGAGTATGACAATGTCAAATCTTTGAGATATGGTCACTTGATGATAATGGCTGATCAGGTAATTTTCCTTCATCTTTACACAACACATATTAAAAATTCAAGAAATGCCATTTTATTGAAAAGATTCAATTTTTTTTATAGGATCATGATGGATCACATATCAAAGGACTGTTGATCAACTTCTTGCACTCATTCTGGCCATCTTTACTAAAAGTCCCTGAGTTTGTACTGGAGTTCATCACTCCAATTGTTAAGGCTACTCAAAAGAATAGTAACAATGTTATATCCTTTTACAATATGCCTGAGTATGAGGCATGGAAGGAAAGTCTAGGGTGCAGAGTGAAAAATTTCAAAATAAAATACTATAAGGTTTGTTTCTTTGTATTCTTTTTCAAATTTCAATACTATAATGCTTAAGTTAGAAAAAAACAAACTGTTGGCTAATAATTTGTTACATTTAGGGGTTGGGAACAAGTAATGGTAAAGAAGGAGCAGAGTATTTTGCTGATCTTGATAAGCATAAGAAAGATTTTGTTTGGGATAATGATGAAGATGGTGATGCCATAGAGTTGGCCTTCAGTAAGAAAAAGATTGAAGCCAGAAAGACATGGCTTAGAGCACTTCAGGTATGAAATTTTATTACTTTATTTATAATGCAAGTGTACATTCATTTACTAATCGTAATTTATGTTCTTTTTCACACAGGCTGGGACGTATTTTGATTCAAATGAGAAACATATCCCATATCGTGATTTCATCAACAAAGAGCTTATCTTGTTTTCAATGGCTGATCTTCAAAGATCAATCCCATCAATGGTGGATGGGTTAAAACCAGGGCAAAGAAAGATTCTTTTTTGTGCTTTCAAGAAACCCATTTTCCAAGAAGTAAAAGTGGCTCAATTCAGTGGTTATGTCTCTGAACACTCAGCTTATCACCATGGTGAAGCAAGTCTTGTGGGGACCATCATTGGCATGGCTCAAAACTTTGTTGGCAGCAATAACATCAACCTTCTTTACCCAAGTGGCCAATTTGGTACACGTCAGATGGTAAGTTAAATAAAATATTTTTCCTTTTTCTTTATCTACATATAAATTATTGTTCCTTTATCTTTATCTACATATTTAAAAATCTGTGTACAGGGTGGAAAAGATCATGCAAGTGGAAGGTATATTTACACTAAGCTTACACCCATAACACGTCATATTTTCAACAAGGCAGATGAGCTTCTTCTCAACTACTTGAGTGAAGATGGACAATCCATTGAGCCTACATGGTATCTTCCAATTATACCCATGGTTTTGGTGAATGGAAGTGAAGGAATAGGGACAGGGTGGAGTACATTTGTGCCAAATTATAACCCAAGGGATATTATTGCTAACTTGAAACGTCTTTTGAATGGGGAAGAAATGGTGCCAATGGATCCATGGTATAAATGGTTCAGAGGAACAATTCAGAAAACAGCATCGAAAGACACAGGATACACAACCACTGGAATTGTTGATGAAGATGAGGACGAAAATACCCTTAGAATCACTGAGTTGCCAGTTAGAAGGTGGACACAGGAATACAAGGAGTTTTTGGAGGTTGCTTCAACTGCTGGAAAAGACAAAGAACCTTTCATAGAGGTAGATTGTACTTTATACATAATTACAATATCTTTTGAACTTAATATTGATGTTTTTTTTTTATTTTTTGGTTTTAAATTTTTAGGAATACAATGCTCATAATGACGACACAACAGTGAATTTTCAAATAATAATGACTGCTGATCAAATGAACAAAGCAAGACAAGAAGGGCTGTTGAAGAAATTTAAACTCACTACTACTTTAAGCACAAGTAACATGCACTTGTTTGATGCAAATGGCGTGATAAAGAAGTATGACACTCCAGAACAAAGTAAGATTATGACATTTTTCAATCAATACCTATTCTGTTTTGGTTTATTGACTGTTTTACCCTTTGTGCTTACAGTTGTCGAAGATTTCTTTCCCCTTCGTCTTGACTATTATGAAAGAAGGAAGGCAAGTTTTTGAAATTACATCTTTGTATGCGTAGAAATGTATAAGTTTTTGACACGTGTGTTAATTACAGACAGCGTTGCTTCGTGAGCTTGGGAAGATATCATTGACGCTGGAAAACAAAGTGAGGTTTATCAAAGAGGTTGTGGAAGGGACACTTGTCGTGAGCAACAGAAAGAAAGCTGACCTGTATGCTGAGCTGGCAAAGAAAAAGTACACGCCGCTACCAAAAGAAGCTGTTATCGAAGCGTCAATTGCAGGGGCTGTTGACCATGTTGAAGGAAGTGAAGAGACCGAAGAGGAGGAAACTTCCGACGTGCCGATCAATGTGGAAGCGGCGGCGGCTGCCGTCAGTAAGACGATTCCGGGAACGGAATATGATTATCTGCTTTCGATGGCGATTGCGAGTTTGACTTATGAGAAAATGAAACAGTTGTGGAAGGAGAGAGATGAGAAGAAGGCTGAGTTTGATGAACTTACGAACACTCCTTCTAGATCTTTATGGTTGAAAGATCTTGATGATCTTGATAAACAGCTCGATGTAAGTTTTGTGGAAAAAAATTGTTTATTTTTGGGTTTTGTTAAAAATTGATTTTTTTTTTTTTTTTTTTTTTTGTGTGTGCTTAGGAACAAGACAAGAGAGATGCGAAAGATGAAGCGGAAAGAAAGAAACAGCAAGAAAAAGCAAGAGCTAAAGGTCCCGGTGGCCGGAATGCTAGGAAGCCGGTGAGAAGGGCACCGGCGCCGAAGAAACCCGCTGTCGCCAAGGCGGAACCGATGGAAACATCAGGTGGTTCTCCAGCTGAGACTGGTAATGGTATTGCTCCTGCTCCGGCTCCGGCGAAGGGGAGGGGAAAAGCAGCGGCGCAAAAGAAAGCTCCGGCGAAGAGCAAGGGGAAATCGGTTTTGATCGATGAAGAAGAAGAAGAGGAAATACCTTCGTTGGCTCAACGTATGGCGAAGAGTAGTTTGAATAGTGTGCAAGGTGTTGATAATGATGACATTGTTGAACTTGAAGATCGATTGGCTAGACATAACATCGAATCATCTCCTGATACAGCAGAAGGTAGTTTGTTAATTTGTTAATTTCTATTTTTATTTTCATATTGTGTTTATTTTGTGATGATTAATTTTTTTAATTGAAAAATGGTAGTGGTGCCGAAAAAGAAACAACCGGCGAAAAGAGCTGCAGCGGCGAGGAAAAAGGCGACGACGATTATTTCCGATGATGAAGACGAAGATGAGGACGAAATTGAACTGAGCGATGATTCTGATTTTGAAATTGTGAAACCGCCGTCGGAGGAGAAGAAGAGGGGGAGGAAGCTGGCGGCAAAACCACCAGCGGGAGCAACGAAGAAAAGAGGACCTGCGAAGAAAAGTCAACCAGCAGCTGGTGGGCAGAAGTTGATTACGGAGGTGTTGAAGCCTGTTGTGGTGGCGGAGGCGTCGCCGGAGAACAAGGTGAGGAAGATGAGGCCGTCGCCGTTTAACAAGAAAAGTGGGTCGGTGTTGGGGCGGATGAATAAGGATGATGACGATGAGGATGAGGAGGAGGAGATGG